GAGCTCCATACATCAGGAAGGACATTGAACTGTTGGAAAGGGTTGTCATATGAGAAGAGATTATAATCTCTCAAACTGTTTTCTCTTGAAAAAAGAAGAGTTAGAAGGGACCTTATTGAAGTGTTTAAGATTGTAAAGGGAATTGATAATGTTGATGCATCATTTTTTATATACATTTTAATAGTGAGAGTAGTAGGACTAGGGGACACATACATTTTGGCAGGGTAGAAGTCATCTTCAACTAAGACATTTTTATTTATCTAACAGGGTGGTTGACCTTTGGAATGGGTTGCCTTTGGATATTGTGGAGACAGTAAATTTAAGTGAGTTTAAGAGAAATCTGATAAGTATATGAATGATAAGGGCTGGCTTTAAGTTTTCTTTTCTTTATTAATCTATTTATTAATAGTTTAGAGGATGGGACACCAAAGATGGACCAATAGGTCCCATGTTGTCCCAACATAATATGTTATGTCACTAGGTTTAAGCTGTCATTTTTAATTTTTTTTTATTGTGAAGATCAAAGAAGCCTTTTTTAAAGGCAATTCTTTTAGAATTAATGCACAGACAAATATTTGAAAACAATAAAAATTTTATATATTACTTTATTTCATTCTTAAATGTAACTTATCTTAAAAATACACAAGCTACTTGATTTTTTCCCTCATTTTTAAATAAATATTGGTATCAAGATATTCAAACTTATCAGTTTATGGACCTATTTAATCAAGAAACTATGAAAGATTGTGTTTTTAGTTGATCCTTCTAAAGAAGCATAACTTCTCAGTTTGTATATAATGTCATTAACAAGTAGAATAAATGCATAATTGTTTAGTTCTTACAAAATGGTATATTTAGTAAAATTGGAGCATTCTAAAAAAATCCATTATACTTTTTTTCTAATACCACAAAGGGTCATATTTATTGGTATTTTTTCATACATACTTCTGTTAAATTTTAGCTATATTAAAAACTAAAATTAATTTCCCAGAAAATGTCACCTAAATAGGCCATATTATATTACCTCATTAATGGATCAAGCACAATGCTAGCACACAAAAAAACAGGGTGCTTTATTTTCTATGAATTCATACAAAATATTTTTTTAATAAAAATGATAAAAACCTAGATGAAACAATATTTCACTACTTACCATCATATAAAGTGATAATTTAAGTTTGAATAAACTAACCTGCAGCCTTTTGTTTCCTAGCATTCTTCCTCTCATTTCAGCAACTGCATTTTGTGCAATATCTATTGAGTCATAAAACACTAGGGCTTGGCCCTTTTCTCTGTCTATCACAGTATTCCTGACTGGTCCATAACGTCCAAAATGACGCCTAAGAAATTTCTCTGGTACAGATTCCACAACACCATCTATCCATACACAACATGTGGGCATGCTTTTACCAAATCCTAATTTTATCCTACTGGCCCCAAAAAGATTTTCACCATCCAGTTTCCGCATGGCTTTCACAACACTAGAAATGTCCATGAACTGAATGAAAGCATATGAGGATGTACTGGTAGCTCCCTGTTTCTTAATGTCAATCTCCTGAAACAGAAAAAAAGTCATGTTCAAAATGGAAGTACTTTTATATATATACATCTTCTCTCTCTCATTATTCTAGGTCTCGCAGCCTGTATAGTTGGAATTGGTGTTAAAAAATCTTGACAAATAAAAGCATTTTCTGAGAAATTAAAAAAGTAGTGTGTTTAGGTGAAAGAATACTGAGATACAGGTTTTCATTAAAAAAAAACAACTAAAGAGGAATTTATTTTAACATATTTGAAAATGTTACATAACTGTAATTCTAAAATGAAAGATAAAAAATAAATGTTTTGATTAATCGATTGTTGGAATAATAAAAAATGTAATAATTGGAAACACTACTTTCAATAATTTGATCATTTTCCTGACAAGTGAGTTAATCACAATTTCATTTAATTAATTAATGTGATAATCAGAAACACTAATGTTTATTAATGCATTAGTTTACAGGACACTAATACCTACAGTGATCCAGGCATAGACAATCCCAATGGTTTTTCATGAAGTCAAATGTTCACAATAGCAAACATAATCCATAAGACAATGCATGTACTATGTATTTTGTCTTCCATAAAGAAGTCATTGTTGTTTGAACAAAATGATTATTCATGTGAAGCTAATGACATAACATGCCACTTTGACTATGCAATCTGTATAATTACAGATGACATATACAATAATAAACTGCTAAGTTCATTGTACATACAGATGCATGCCAACCCTTACTAGTTTGAACCTTTACACTTATCGATAGTGCATACTATTAATAAAGTGTTCACTGTATTCAAAGTGACTGATATGGCTGTCTGGATAATTCATCCAGAAGAAATGCTTCATTATGGTGTGTTCCAATCAATGACTTTCACAGTAATTGCTGCTCATAGGTAACTGATTACATAATTAAATCACCCAGCTCTAATATTAATGAAAATGTTTTTAATTACTAACATTAAATGTCTCCTTGGTTTTAATTTTGTTAAACATAAATATTTTGATACTTAATTACTATTATCACTTTGATCTTTTGGAAATTTTTCGTGACAAAATACTAATTTAAGATTTGTATCTTAGCTATATTTTTTTGCTTTATGATAAATTTTAACCTTTAATATGCAAGCTCCTGCAAATCTGATAACATTGAAGTTCATTCATCTACTTGTACCTTTAAATGGAAATATTTAAAACTTGTATTTTAAGCATAATTTGAGTTATTAGCTTCTTACAATAATTTCTCCAAACTGCTCAAAATGTTTTCTGAGGTCCAAGTGAGTAATATCTTTTTCTAGGTTGCCAATAAATAATGTTCTTGTTGCTTTGGGATGATATTCGTCAAGTTCAGCCTCTAAAGGTCGAAACTCATTATCTTCACCATCTAGTCCCTCATGTGCTGTGACTTCAATCTTGCAGCCAAAGAATAACTTATCTTTGGAAACCTCTAAAGCTTTCTCTACATCATCTGGCCTAAAAATGGTTCAAAAGCAACATTGTACATAGATCCAATATGGACCTTAGTTTATTTTTAAAAAAAACATAGTCCATGCTAGAATAAGTGATAAAGAAATTACACTTTCTCTAAAACTGTAAACATTAATATAACCACATTATTTACTTGTTTTAAATAACAGTTTAAAATGTTACAATTTGAGAAAATATTCATAGCATTAAAGGTTGGCACATAATGCTTTTAAACTATAAATCATTTGTTACTACTTTAAGTACTTTCATCTTGAAGTAAAAGTTTAGGGGTTAAAAATCTTGCAAAAATATCCAAAACAGTTTAGGTCTTTAAATCTATTATTATCACTTTAAGAAAACTATATTAATAAATTATTGGGGTAAACTAATTTTCTAGGGTGACAATAAGGCAAAGACAACTGGTTCATAAATCTACAGTTCGGTTTTCAGCATACTGGCTTGTATGGTGATAGATGGAGGAATTTACTTTGTCATGTTTCATTAAGGTCACTTGTAAAGCAAAATATAATTAGTATGTTGCCTGTGCAATATATGATATATATTTGAATAAACCTTAGCTTCAGGTTAGTCTACCCAGCCACTTAAATAACTTAACAGTACTAGTCACTTAGTCATCTAAATTATGTGTATCACTGTATGTGATGATATTGATAACTACTACATATAATTATTATACAGGAGCTGGTGCTTACATTCACAATATATTACACACACATATAGTCCTGGTATATGTTTCAAGCCTATTTCATATTATGCATGGTTTTTTCACTATAACATTTGCACTTCTCACAACTGCTATAAATAACATTTTTTTAAATAGTTCTTTTTCAAACAATTTCAAAAAGATTCTGCTAATATAAGAATGTAAATTTTTGTGTAATGTACTATAAAAGCACCCAAATATAGTAGTAAAGAAATGAAATTAGTTTCAAAATAGTTATTTAGAATACATGTATGAGTAACAAACATTTTATGCTCTCGAAAAAGGAAGGCCAGAAAGAACCATAACTTTAAAACATTTTAATTAAGTCTTTGCATTGAACCATCCAACTGACAATCAACCACTGTCATGCTAAAGTATGGATGTCACACCTAAAATGACCCTATCAGATTTGGTTTGTTTTAGTGCAATGATCAGATAAATCATTTATGATGTGTTATGTTCTTACCATAATTCATAAGATGGTACTCACTAATGTATGCATATTATTTTCTGTGTTAATAACATCTGATATAGAGAAAACAATCCTATTTAGTAACAAATCTGATACTGGCTAATATGATGATAGATGGAGGAATTTATGTTGTCATACTTCATTATGGTTATCTGTAAAGTAAAATATAATTAGGATGTTGCCAGTGTATTACATGATGTTTATTTGAATAAACCTAAGGTTTATGTAGTCTATGTGCTCTGGTAATAATGGAAGTCTAAATACTTTTAAAGATGTAACATCAGTACAATACTCCTTGCCCATTGAATTAACACTGGCAATATCAGTCAAATATTGTTTGACCAACTGATACTGTGTCATAGGAGATCCATAGCAGGAGTTATTACTGGAATTTTATCTACAGTTTATTACTGTTATGTTTAAAATGGAAAATAATGTCACTGCAATGTCTCAGAGGTGTTTCTGAGCAGGTGTCTTAGTCTGTTTGTGCTGTTAAATGCCATAAGAAGGTTCTTACATAGAATTTTGAAGTTTGACATTGGAGCAGAACTCATATGCAGTCATAAAGCATGCTGTGAGGTTAGCTACTCTTGCTCATCTTTCTCCTACAGCTGTTTGATTGGGATTAAAGTGACACCATTTTCTGTACAAGTTTTTCCTCTTCCTCTCGTGTGTTAGTGATTGTTAACTGTAGTGCACACAATCCTGTGTAATCTCAGATGTAAGGGATTTAAAATTTAGGCCACAAGCATTAATGAGTCCTTCATGGATAAAGCATTGCATCATTCTCAGCATATGTACATATGACGTTGTGTATCTTTTACTATGCTTTATCATTTCCTCACACATTTTGTACCTGAAGTGTCAAAAGACCATGTTCTTCATACAAAGTTGAAAATTGACACATATCAACATCTCCATATACACAACATTCCCTGAATGTATCAGTTCTACACTCCACAGAGGGTCATTCCAAATCAGATTATATTATTTTCTCTATACTTGCTGGGTTAAAGCACAACTATGGAGCATATTAACATCAATATATGGTGTACAAAATGACTACTTTTATGACATTACCTACAGCTGTTGAAACCACATTTACATACTATTTTATTGTTTTGTGACATGATAGGCCACTTAATGATCTCTATACTTTGATCTCACCCTACATAACTTTCTGTAATTATTCATACAGTATTTTTCAACACATAGTTTGATCAAGATATCTAAACAGGCTAAAAAGAATAATACCATTGCTTTTCTCTTACATTTTTTCCCCTCTAAAATTTTCATTCAAATATCTAAAAGCTTAACTTAAAAATGTAAAAATAGACTTACTTTTTGAAACAAACCACTGCATATCTGTCTGTTCCCTGACCAATTACTTTAACAATAGTGACTTTTCCATGTTTCTTGTATTCGTGGAACAGTCCATCTTTCAGGCTTGTGTCTAAAAATGTCCAAGTTACCACAAATGTCATTATCTGTAAAGTTCAGATTTTTTTTCATACAAATATACTACAGGTAAAATAATATTAGCTGTCAGTGAAACATGCAGTGAGAATTTCTCTCTCTCTCTCTCAGAGTTAGAATGTGCCAATACATTTTCAGGTTTCTTGAATACCTTAGAATAGTTAGTTAAAGAGAAATGTATCTAAATTTTTTACCAACCTGTTGACCGAACTGGAAGATTTCGGACACAAATGGCAAGTGGCCTTCGCTCCTCCCTGTCACTATGGTTGTTAATAGGACTTGATGCACAGTTTTGTGGTTGATTTGAGCACTGATTTCCCAGAGACAAGTTGTTAGAATTCAAATTTGTTACAGCAGGTGGCAAAAACAAAGATGACACTGCAGTGACTGTACTGTTTAGCCAATCTGAGCGTACTGTTTTCCCACTTCCTTGGCTGCCATAGGAGGTCCTATATATAGAGTTAATACTTTAATAATACTTACTTTAAAAAGTACTTTGTAGATTGGTCTTTACTTTTATGCATTCTGTTTAGCTAATTTTTGTGTGTTTTCAATGAAGACAACAAACAACTTCAGAAAGATGTTTTTCTTATTCTACCCAACATTTACGCATACACCTTTTTCAAGGGTCTATGAACATCACAGATTACAAAACTGATTTTAAACTTTAGTAACCGAAAAGAATATAAAACTATAACAATATAATAGAATGATGCATGGTGAAGTGTGCTAAAAATATTGTTACACAGTTTGGAGTTGGTGATTATAAAAGTAAATGTTAAAAAATAAATAAATACAAAAATCTTAGATGAAATAATAATAGTTTTATAGGGGCCAGGTATTATATCTGTCAGTGGAAGGGCATTTGTTTTGAATCAGAAAAGATTCCTTAAATTTTCTGTCAAGAAAGTTGTCACAAATCTCTAACATTTTGATCCGATATGGTGTTTCATTAATTATGCTGTGTACATTAATGTAATGTTCAGCAGTGGTACCAGTCACCAAACAGGATGTCATTATTGCTCAACTTAATGGAATTGAAAAATGTGCAACACCATGGATGGTAAGATGCAAGCAAGGATGAAACTTCAAAAGCTACTGTTGTCCAATGACTATCTGTATAGTCACATTACTAAGACATTCCACAATTTTAACAAATGACAGCAAAAAAACGAACCACCATATCAAAACACTTTCCATGGATTATGCCATTCAGGGATAAACTTTTAACTACTTGTCTTCTTTAAGCGATTGATTACAAAATCGGGTTTGAATTTCCACATCATACAAAAACCCTGTAAGAAACTGAAAGATATACTTACTCAGTGTCTTCAGTAAAAAAATCCATGCAAATCCAAAAAGTTCTTTTCTAAGATCAATGCCTCCTGCGCTTTTAGAAACACCATCTATGAACTGACATGTACACAGTGTTCAGCTACTTACGTAGGTGAATCCAGTCATCCAACACATGATTGTTTCAAATAACATATCTGCGCCTTTACAAATCTTGACAACAAAGAAGCCACAACTAAACATTAATTACAATAATGCAAACAGCACGATTAGCAAGACATCTTATAGATCAAAAATTTTAAGAAATTGTTTTCTTGACAGGAAATTTAAGGAATTTCTTCTGATTCAATCCAAAAACCCTTCCATTAGCAGGTACAATGCCTGACTCCTATAAAACTATTATTATTTCGTGTAAGATTTTTCATTTATTTTTAGAATTTAGTTTTATAATCAGTGACTCTAATCTGTTCAATAATACTTTTAGCATGCTTCACGGTGCACCTTTCTATTATATTGTAGTAGTCTTATATTCTTTATCAATACTATAATTTAAAATCGGTTTTGTAGTCTGTCACATTCACAGACTCTTGAAAAAGGTGCAAGATAAAATACAGGGTAGAATAAAAAAACATTTATCTGAAGTTGTTTGTCATCAATCATTGCAAATGGCTACCATCCTTCAGTCAGTACTGAAAACTTTGGCTTCTTTTTTTATTCAAGAACATATACTGACTTACGCAGGTGACTGAGACTTGGACGGTGATGGCGACCTACTACTGCTGTCACTGGAACTACTTCGAAGTTTTGATGATGAACTAGATGATCGACTATCACTACTGCTACGAGAACTTGACTGTGACCGAAAATTCGACGGGGATCCTGAACGAGAGTGGGAGGACCGCCTTGATGTTCCCTGTCGCCGTTGCCTGCTCCCAACTTGAGAGTGAGGTGGAGAGTCAACGGTTGAGCTGATGGACGATGTTGTTATCGTCGATCTCCGTGGTAATCTCCCTGTTCCTGCTGGTGCTACTTCTCGTTCATCACCATACTGGTCAAGTGGTGGGTAACGTTGCTGTTCAAAATGTTGACGCTGTGTATGACTACGAGGAAAATGTCCTTGATTTCTGAAACAAGAATGACAAAAATATTTCTGTAAATGAGAGTGTAACATTCTGCTTAAGTCTGGTGTTACTGTGGGAGAAAAATAAAATAAATAATGTGTGACGTAGGTAATGACTATTTTTTTGGCAACCTCTCTGATTTAGTTTAAACTGGTAAGATATTATAAATATATTTCCAGTGCTATTACTATTTAATATTGTGTATACCAGGCTTAACCAGTGTTTCTTTATATACATGTATTATGATCAGTATATTTTCAGTACAACGGAAGGTAAAACAATGGTAAATCATGTAAAATCTGCTAAAGAAATTCCAATGTAGAAGTAATAACTAATGCCAAGTGTTTTCACTAATTCTAGTAACTTACAGTGCAATTTTCTTGAAGAAACAGCTTTCTACATTGTATAGTTGATCTTTTATCACAGATATTCAGTATTATATATATATATATAAAGTTCTCCGTTTTATGAGTTAGCAACTTGTATTTAATAAAAGAAATGCAATACCAAGAATTACAGAAAGTTAATTATTATTTTAATACAATTCTGAATATGCAAATTAGCAAGTCATGTGGTAAAATAGTCATCACAGTAGAACAGAATGTATCAGAACTACATTTTGACATTGTTTGGTGTTTGGTGAGTAGTGTTGTCACCAAAAACTGGTCACTTTTGGGAAGGGTATAAACAGTTCTTTCCAACACAAAATATTCTTTCACTTTGATCATAAATATGTGTCTACGTTATAGATTTACTATTTTCAGACTGGGATATTCCTTGTATTTAATGGTAATGGTAAACAAAGCAGTATGGCTCAACTTGGGGCTCCAGGATCATCCAGAAAAAGCCTTCCATCAAGTAAGCAAAGTACAGTGTCTTGTAACAAGTGAAAATCCACAAACACAAATGCTAATGGCAACATCCATCCACATATTCCAGACAACAGCATGGTACATAACCAAAAAGGATCTCTGACAGGGTATGTATTCAAGAGATATTTATGCTAATCCACATGAAAACATACTGATCAAATTGAAGCAGAACCTAAGTAATTCTGTGCTGTGGGACTGTTGAAATGTGTGCTGAAAAAGCATTGTTGTTGTAAGCTAGATGGATTACAGAAATAAAAAACAAAGGTGTGGTGTGCTTTGGACATGACAGTCTTAAAATGAAGTCTTTTGCAATGGAAACTATAATGCAGGGCTATTGTCAAGGTGCACAGTTGTCAGACAGAGCATGACAAGACTTGGTGACATGATCTGTAACAACTTGAGTAAAATATGCCAAAACTTTATCAGTATTGTTAATAAATAGCTAATGACTACTTGTGTAGAAATATATATCATGACAAATTATAATACAGCCTTCAATACCATGTCTACTTGAAAAAAATAATGTTCATGAAAAATAATTTATACAAGTTGTCCCTCCAGTTTATGTTCAATGGGAAGAACAATGTTAATGGATGAATTATTTTTACACAATTACTTAATAAAAATGCCTGAATTTTTTATGTGTATGTGTTGAAATCAGTTACAAACTTCTTTTTCTGGCTATGGCTATTTTTACACTCTATAATCTGAGTTTACTAATGGAAAAGATATCAAGTATCTTATTCTATAAGTACAAAATAAACCATAACTTCTTCCATTGTCAGAATAGTATTTTATCTTCCAAGAACCAAATCAACTATTCTATGTTATTATAAGAATACATATCAAGTGTATTCTACGTCAAGGAATTCAACTACTGTTGATTTTATTCTCTAAAATGAAAGGTAATATGTCTGCTTAATAGCCTAAAAAATCTCAAATCCTTTTACCACGCATAATGTATTTTTAATTAAGAAACTTCTGTCCATGTTTTAATTTTAAAAAAAAGAAATAATCCATTTTGTCCATAGGAAAGGTTTTCAAGTAACCTATTTCTTGTAGGAGGTGCCAAGATTTGCTTTATTTATGAACTAACAAAAGTAACTTTACCTATCTGTTCCCTCTGGGTATATAGTCCCTGGTGCAGCACGTGAATACCTATCTCGTGTGCGTCCTCTTGCTTGGTAACTTTCATCATCATGGTAACCAATCCCAACTGTCCGCCTTATGTAAGGCTCCCTCTCGCCAAGGCGGTCATAGTAGTGAGAGGGACGCTCATATGATCTTTCTTCTGGCACACTAAAAGGGAAAATTGGTGGAAATGTTGCGATCAAATAACGTTTACGGAATATAAAAATATAAATTTTGGTTTAACATAATATTTTGTAATTTTTTTTCATCCTGGATCTCATGGTTGTAGGTCTACAATTTTGTGGGTTACAGGATTCATAATCTGTATAAATATACGTCAATACGTTTGTGTGTGTGTATCTGTTCCTTATACATTTTCACATTTCTTGATCAATCAGCACCAGACTTGACACAATGATACAGGATGAATGAGAAGGTGATGGGAGACACCCAACATCTAATTTCTGAAAAACTACCAAACTCCCTTGGCATTAGAATGAACTATGTAACCACTTTTGTTAGAATTCTTGAAAACAGTACGTCTTTTTTTCAGTATTGGTACCTTAGGTACTTTTATTGCATTTTTAATGTTTATGATGTTAACAAAAAAAAGAAGCACAATTTCGCTCTTTTGTTACATCATATGAGTCAAACGAAAATTAAAAACATCGTTGATACTGCAATTAATCCCACTAATTACCGCATGTTTTCCATTTCTTTATTTTCCATAGAAAATATGTGGTTTCACTTATTTTTAGCTCTTTACACTGTGTATTGTGACAGTCAAAAACATAAAATTGCAAAATATGACACAGTTATATGGACCACTTATATAAAAAATAATTACAGGGCAAAAAAAGGTATGCTGCCAAATTTTGGGTCCGGGGAGGATATAATGAAACAGCACCCAGTTTACATGCGGAAAACTTTTTTTTCAGCCTCTTTTTGGGCAAGTGTATACCTTGGTTGAATGGGCCCCTCCATTCAACCGGACCCAGAGCGGTTTTATCTCAACGCCCCAGTAGCAGCACAACACTGAAATCAGCCGTCAGAGCGATGAATTGAGCGACTAACTAAATGACGGTTCCCACAGCAAAGAGCATACTTAGTTATTATTATTTTACTATTGTAAAAGCCATTAACATCCACTAACATAATTAGCACGTTGTTGTCAATTATTAAGTCGGAGATTTGGTGTCTTTAAGTCTTCACTGGAAATCCATAAACTTCTGTTTCTAAATGGGCGCATTTTAAGCAAAACATTTTTATAAATTATATATGAATTTACTATCAGAGGCCTTTTTCATCCTTATATATAATATATATATATTAAAACATTTGTATCTACACTTATGTTATTTCTATCATCCTGAGATATCATATAATGTCGCATTTATGTGCACTTAAAACTTAAAAAAAAAAATTTTGATTACGTATAATAGTAATACATTTATTCTTATTTTTCATGCAAAGCTACGCAAGGGTTATCTGCGCACAACAGTCTCTAATATGTAACTGACGGATTACAGGAGAGGCAAATAGCCACGGCACCACCCTTCGTTAATTCTTAGGCTACTTTTCGTTCACCGAATAAAGATACTGTTCTTTTTTAGAAATATCATTGTATATTGTTTTCGTAACTGTGTATGAAAACAAAGTGCAATGGCTTATAACGTTGATCATTACGTAAGAAAAACGGTATCAGTGAAATACACAATACCTAAGGTTGCACGAAGTACAATGTATTTCTGATGAGTAGATTGTTTTCTGGAAAGTTGATAAAAAGTTCTTTATAGCGAAAGTCGTAAAAAGCAGGTTAAGAAAAAAAAAACAATGACAAATTATCACCAGATGTTGATAACTAAACCTTTTTTTATTTCTTTGGAACACTACGCACTGTAGTACAAATGAACTGACTTCGTTCAGTCAGTCAAAAGTTACTTATTTTCGTCAACATACAGAACTTACTTTCTTTTATATGACAGTTATATACAGTACATATATATATAATTGTTTGCTGTTGTTTTTTCACTCTTGGTAAGGTTACGTGTGCTTATAGTTTGTGCTAGTGGTACTCAGTAGCAATTAATTATCCTATTTTTCTTACCACAAAAAAACACGATGCAGTCTGGAATGCATCTAGTTTTTCTAAAATCTAGTAAGTTTTTAGTTTATAACTTATACATGAGAACATAACTGTCGAATATCTGTGTAATGAAAATCTAAAAAAAAACGCGAAGGAGGTTCATTCAGATACCTAACACGTGGAAAAGAAAGGAATACAGATAAACTTGGAGACGGTACGCATCATAATCAGAAAAAGCGACACAAGTCACTTCCAAGGCTTATCCCTTTAACCGTCAAACACTCCAAGCAGTTTGGGAATGAACGGGCATTCGTGTTATCCCATGCGAAGACATACCGGTCAAGGCGCAGTACTTATGGATGACTGTGCGATCAGACCGAAGAAATTGGCGCTGGAAAATCGTCGTCATTCCCATAAACTAGCCCGATTCCGACAAGCCTCCATGCTGTGCTTTGGATATGATAGCCTTACAACTTCAATGGAAACTACGCTATTGTCAAGATGCATAATTGTCAGATACAGCACTACCAGACGTGGTAAAATGAACTGTAAATGACGTAGCGAGGCTCTAAAATTGTTAAAACATAACGTACTTCACATGTATGTATTTACATTTATATAAATATTATTATAATGGACGTAGCGTGTACATATGTAACTATCTATGTACGTGTCCGAAATATATAAAAAATATACAATGTGATGCCATCTATTGACTGGCACCGCAAACAAAAATCCATAAAAAAATTCACACTTTCAGTATTCAAGATTCAGACAATTAGAAAATAATTGTGGTATGTGCAACAACCATTTCTTTATCACAAAACACAATTTTAAATAAAAGTACTCTCCTCACAAGAAGAACAAGACTTTCATTAGGACTATACGTGAGGGTTTTTATTTAAAGGTGTGGCGATAAAGCGATACGATACGAATAATATAACAAATTAACAATAACAAAATAGACAGTATTAACTTTTTCTTATTTTATTTCTCTCACCAGCTGCCATTTAGTTGATCAAACCTGAGAATTTGAAAAAGCACTCTAAAGTGTGAAGTATTTAAATAAGACAATGTTAGTAATATAGATAATAAATTACAGATAAGACTGTCAAACTTTGTAACAAACCATTGGAAAACTTCTGTTTCTATATATGCATAGTATCGCGGCATCAATATCTAGATATCGTAATGACTACTATGATGAGATACGCACACCTAGTTTGATTATATCTTTATTGATGTAATTTGTAAATATAATACTAAAAACAGAATTCTTAAAAAACTGTTATTTTTTCAAAAAAGTTATCACTTTTAATATACAAAAATATTACAGTTTATATCAGCACAATCCGAACACTTTTCCTGTGCAGTACTTCCCAGAAAAATCCTTTTTAGAAAATGTTCCCGTTTTCTACATTTTTTTCAATAGGGTATGAATACTACGAGTACCAATTATTAGCAGAAATAAACAGCCGCCCTTTAGGACGGAATTTCTGCTAGTTTCTTACAATATTAGAACAAAACACTTTTCTCCAATGTGTTATACATGAAAACAACTCAAAGATTTGTGAATGAAAAACTAATAAACATCGGAACTTCTGATTCGCAGCACCGTACACTCATCAGAACTGTTCTCATATTTTAGTATCCTTATTGCGATTATATGACAAATCTTGTAATCATACAATTTATCTATTGGTTAGGTCAAAAACATGGCTCACAATTTTATACTTTAAGATAGTGTTTCTCGTTTCCTTTGTATGTAAGCAACTATTTAAATATTTCTCATTATCTATTAATCGAATAAGCAGGGGATCGGTTCATTTGTTTGTTTTGTATTTCGCGCAAAGCTACACGAGGGCTATCTGCGCTAGCCGTCCCAAATTTAGCAGTGTAAGACTAGAGGAAAGGCAGCTAGTCATCACCACCCACCGCCAACTCTTTTACCAACGAATAGTGGAATTGACCGTCACATTATAACGCCCCAACGGCTGAAAGGGCGAGCATGTTTGGTGGGACGGGGATTCGAACCCGCGAGTCGAGCGCCCTATCCACCTGGCCATGACGGGCCCGGTTATGCCCTATCCCGCATTGTAGAAGGAATGTTGACTGTAATTCTAAATTTAATGTGTGTATCTAAATGAAATATGTCAAGCGTTTAGTAAAACTTACAAGTCTGTTGCACACAAAACGTCAGATGTATTACAAAAGTACTTGTACTCAAGATGTGTCTGTGAATTGATGACGTTAGTTTGACTCAGACTCTGACAAGTCGGAATGCAGGATGTTTATGTGAAGAATACAAATACTTATGTCCACCACACAATTTGCATTTGCAAAATATCTAGAACCCCCAAAATGCATATCTACAGTATCCCTGTATGTTGTATCTGGTATTTACCCATCTACCACGAACTGTCGCTAAATCAGCAATTTAGGGTAAAATGGATAGTTGATAACTAACATCAAACACATAATACTGTGTTAAATAGCACTCTGTAAAAGGGCGTGGCATGCGCACTTTGACCCCCACCCCCCACCCATGCACAAAAAATTAAAATATAGATGTAAAATATATAAGGAATTTTGGCATCTAGTGTCTCCTGATAAAAATGTAGTGTATTTATTACTAGCTGGAGTACCTATCCTATGGACGGAAGTTATGTAAATTCATGATTAATGAAATGTTATCTTAGGACAGCATGAAAAGTTGCTTTCCTTATATGTAATTGTAAAAAACGCCCATAAAAACACAAAATATGAAACAGCAAATTTGTATTTATCTCCGCATGGACCCAATGAACCTCCAAAGAAAATTTGGTGAAGATCCATCCACAGGAGGTAAAGTAGTGGTGAAAAACGCCCATGAAAACCGCAAAACTGAAAATGTGTATGTATACACCTGGAAAAAAGTTAAGCACCCCCGTGTTTTTTTCAAGTGATTCAGATT